ATCAACTGGTTTTCCTTAGATAGAAAACTTTGAATCAATTTGACTGTATGATCTGGTTGAACTGTAAAGTGCCTTGAGATTACGCGTTGTGAATAAATAAATAAACTGAATTGAATTGAATAAAAGGAAAACCTTCCTGGTAGAGCTGAACTTGATTCCTGGTTAATCTATTGGACCGAATGCTGAAACTAAATTGAAAGGTGCATTGAAATGCCTCAACAAAGTATTAGTTTATGTAACCAGGTAAGAGGTGAATTGTAAATGATGAAAGTTGTATTAAAATTGAAATAAAACAACATTTGAAACCACTGTATGGACAAATGTGATTACAAACATGGGACAAAGTGGAACAACAGGTGGAAGTGCTGCATTCCTGGCAGATGATATGTTACTTTTTAGCAGCCTAATCCTACAATTAAACTTATTTTACATTCCTATGTCATTTTGACTTATTTGGCCATTTCAAACCTATATCACAAAGTGTTTTTTAAAGGGACATAGCCACTTCAGGTTGTCCAAGACATTAATCAATATTAACTGAATAAACTGATCAACAGCAGCTTGTTCTGGTACTGATGTGTTTAAGCAGGATGGAGGTCCATCCTCCTTAGCACATCCCAGGTGGAATTTAAAGACAAATTGCAATTCTCTTCCTCTGTTCAGGGATGGACAAAGACTCCAGGAGAAGTGTCGAAAGGTTTTCCAAATAACTCAGCCAAGGTCTGCTTTAAGCTTGTTTTGTCGCTTCCATGGCCCAGATGTATCAAAAAATCAATGGAAATGAAAAAATAAAATAAAAACAAACAGGGAAAAAGCATCAAGCTAATAAATATTTCAAATAAATAAATAAGTATAAAATTATTTCACTATAATAAACGCAAATAAATCACAGTGAAACGCTTTCCCCCCGGTGAGTGCATATTGACGAGCCCTGAATTGAACATGATTTTGAGTAGGATCTATAGCCTGACGTAGTCCGACTCAATTCTAGTCAGAATATGAGTCTGATACTGCTCCATAGAGCTGTGATTATGGGGCGTGTTTCGAACCAGNTTTAAAAAAAGAACGTTTAAGGTTGTTTTAAGGACATTATCGGACATGCTCTATGGGAGCCATTCTAAAGCAGCCAGGGGGTGATTCTAAATGAGCCAAAAAGCAGAGACAGGACCAATTGTCAAAATTTTGGTGTCAATCATTCGGTTTCATCCTGGACACTACAGAAAATGGGCTTAAAGTGTTAAAAAGTGAACTTCTCCTTTAACTTTATAACTAAATTTGGCCCCTACTAGAGTAAAATTAACTCAGAAATTCTGACACTGTGATCAGTGTAAGTTTTACACTGTACAGGGCAGGACCATATGTAACCTGGCTCAGTGTTGACATTGACTAAGTGTTACATTAACACCCCTCAATTTACTGTGTAAGGAGTGTAGGAAGGAAGGTGGAACATATATTAGGTTTGTGAAAATGCCCAGGAAAAGTCTGAGGGCTGTCAAAGAAGTACAATAATATAGGGACTGAAGATTCTGTTAAATCTACGTCCCTAAATGAATGACCCAAAAAAAAAAAAAAAAAAAAAAAACAGTTACTACTTTAAAGGCCTAAAATTTGTGAAAACATTTCTTAGTGTAAAAGTATTCTGAAGCCATAAAAGACTTTTATTCTAAGGCTTTTACTCAATAATGGGTTTAATTAAATGTGGAAGAATCACCTCTATGCAGCTGCAGCTCTACAAAGCTCAATAACCCTTTTTTCCCCACTGCTGCTTCCAACCTAAATCACTATATTTCTGTTGCTTCACCAGTAGCTGCTCGCTGTGAAAAACTGACAGATAAACAAACATCCCAACACCAGCTGTCAGAGCTGCTCAAAGGTCCAACATTTAGAGATGAGGAGATAGGAAGAGGGAGATGTAAACGAACTGAATGAGATAAAAAAAAATAATAAAAAATCTAGAAAATAAGAATTAAAAATAGAGTAGAAAAACCTTCTAAATACAGCACTTATGTCATTATCAAACCTAGAGAGAAAAACTTTAACAAATCACCTCTTGAGTCAACTCTGCTACAGAAGTTGCAGCCGTACATTAATACTGTGCAGAGGACAGTACCCTGTAAATATCAGGTATATATTATTGCTAAATGGGATTTTAGAGTAAAAATAGGAATTTTCCGATAAAGAAAACTCTCACAGATGCGTCTGACCACATGTTGGCTCAATAAATGCAGCGGTTTCTGGAGGAAAAACAGGTTCAGGAATGTTAGGTAGACACAGCATCTCTAATAGCTAGTTCTGCGTTTAGAGTTATTCAGAAAGCAGTCTCCGTTTTATGCTCGAATCGCATCTTCATCATAAACCCTTGTTGTAGGTCAACAGTCTGCAATCCGTTGCCATGGCAATCTCCGGCTCAAGGCGAGACACCTCAATCTGCCGGAAGAAAAAGAAAAAAAAAAACACGATACTGGATTGATTGAGCTGCATATCTCTGTGTTTAGCCTTGAAAGTTGTTTTTAGTTCAAATCCTGCAGGGCTGTGGGTGCTAAGTGGAGTATATTTAATGTGAATCTCATCCCAGCTGCTCTGTGAGCCATCTGGTCTCCAGAGCGGAAGAACATACTGTACCTGAGACATCTGAGGAAAGAGGCTGATGGCCACGGGCAGAGAGAGGCCGAAAGTAACCAGGCACACAAGGCTGTGGATTGGCAGCAGAAATCTTCGGTTTCTCTGCAGGAATCGCAGCCTGTATGAGTCAGGACACGGATAAAAGAGAAAGTCAGCCTGCGGAGGGTAGATTGATCCAGGCTGACTACTGCGACGCCTGGAGTTATTTTAGGCTGTGCGGATCTAGGGGAGCAATTTCACACAATGAGAGGGTGGGAAACTCAGCTAGAAGCAGTCTAATTAAACCGACTGCAGATTTAATCAGTTAGTTAAACAAAAAATAGATTCATTGTTTTTCTCTCCTGTTTCTATCCTCTTTTTCTACATTATCTCTCATAGAAATAACCTCAAGGCACAACATATGTTGGCCCAAGATGTCTCTCTACAAGAGTGTCAAAGGAAGAAATCTGAGATAACATAAACATAGGCATCAAGTTTAAACTTTGAAGGAGTTTTCTTCTAAAATTACTTGGGGGTTTATGCCTGGATCAGGATGTTTTCTTTGGGAAGTAATCATCGGTTTAAGAGAAACTAGTCGTTAGATCAGATGTAAAGGAGATAGTTGTCACATGTAGACATGTCTGTTTATGGATGTTGCTGCAGCTCGTTGATAGAACAGCCTCATTCTCACCTTTTGCACTCTTCATCTGACTTATCACTCTGTACAGATTACTTAGCCCAGATTACTTGGACAAATGTGATTACAAACATGGGACAAAGTGCTGTTCAGTATAAAAGCACAGATGAGAATCTAATGGTTGTCGTTGTACTGGTACATTTTTAAGGACTCTGCAATATAATTTTCGGGATGCACGGACATTGTTGAAACAAAAATGTTCGTCTTTTTATGATACATTTGCTGTACAAGTTTTAATAAATTTTTAAAAACTTCTAAGAGATTATGAATAAATTCAAAACTCCTGAATGTAATCACTGGATTGTAAGAGGTATTATGCTGATTTTGTTTTATGACCTGGTAAGGAGTTCGGGTGAATTGAGGCAAAATCTCATTTTTTTATTTTTATTTAAAAGTTGTGTGTTTTTAGGAACAGATAATACAAGATTTATCTTCCCATCGTTCCTTTTTGTTCATGTATGCAGAAAAAAACAAGACTGTGCAATGACATGAACAAAATTATGGAGGACCAACTCTGACATAATTAGAGATTCATACATTTATGCTTCTTGTATAATTTAATTACAGCTTACCAGTATGTGTTTTCTGTTATTTGATGTTGCAAATCGATTAATCAGTTTATTTTTTGGATTAATCAGTTAATAATCGGCTACCCAAAGTTAAGTTTAAGATTAATCCAAAAAATAAACTGATTAATCGATTTGCAACATGATCGTCAATTGCAGCCCTATTAGGATCCATTGGTTTATTATGTCACTTGTACTTAGACTGAAGCTACTACTCGTATTTCTATCAATAGAAATGTTTACTCATACGTCCATCAGCTCTGCAGTCACACCTGAAGGCCTCTGCAGCTTTAGCTACCGCTTCAGTGAACACCAGTGTTTATATTGTTTCTCTCTGGGAATCAAAAATTGTTTGGCGTTTTCCTCACACTGGATCTTGGATTTTTCTTATTTTTCTTGGCAAATGTGCTCGCAGGTGCCGCCCAATTACTTTCTGCTTACCCATGTTTACTTTATTACTAGTAAACTGAGCAAAAACAAAGTATAAAACACACAAAAAACAAATTGCAGACCAGCAGGAAGCAGTCATCTTTAAGAACAACTTTTTAAGCAACCAATCGTGCTGCTGGATCAATTTAGAAAAGTTCATACATGACAACTTTGAAGCAAAAACTACACCTGTGTGTTTCTGTACAAACCTTTCAATGTAGGACATGATGATTGGAGGCAAGACAAAGATAGGCATAGGAAGGACGACACGTGTGAAGGCCGTCTCCATTATTGCCTGCAGATAAAATTTGAAGATGGTGCACAAAATTGGTTTAAAATATCGCAGTCAATTGCTTTTATTCCTTTTTTAATTGTGTAAGACGCTTAGAGATTCTGATGCAGCAGAAAATGGAAACTCAACAGTTAGCAAGTGTCAAATTAAAAATGCATAGAAAATGATACTTACATGTCTAGCAGCAATTTTGGAGGATCCCACCACGCTGCCAGTGTGGTCCAGTACATCAATGCCCTCTGACAGCTCATTGTGTCTCATTAGAGCTACGTTACAGATATTTGCACTCGCTAAAGAGGAACAAAGAGGGCTTTATTATTTATTCTTCTGAATAATTAACAACCAACAAGGAATGCAGATTAATCTGATTAAAATGAAAATACAATAAAAAAAAAACATTATTATATTGAATTAGGTACACATATACCATCATGATTGTTTAGATATTACAGAGGAATTATCTTCTCAGGGAGTTTGCAGCTCTAGCCACCAGAGGGCCGCCAGAAATGTGAAAACAACAAAGAGCCCCTTTATGACAGTGGATCCTTTGAAAACTCACCTACAGCTGGGAAGGGGACAAATCTCTGAATAATCATTCTGGTGGAAGGACTCAGCTTGTTGGCCTTCTGAATAAGCATGTTCAGTCCCACCTATAAAGAAAACAAATAAAAATCATTATTATTACTTATTTAAAAACTGCAACTAGTAATCATCTAGACTTCAAAGAACTACTGAATGTTAAAAATGTTGATATTCATGTCAAAGAGAAAAGAAATCGGACTTACAGCAATAGAAACAGCACTGGTTACAGCGCCCACATAGCCTTGAAGAAACTTAGATGTTGGAGTAGGCTGCAAACAAAGCCAAACCAAGGAGTTACAAGCTGGTTAATTCATGAAGTGTATCTTTACTTATTTATAGTGCAATTTGAAAATTTATTATGTGGGTCATAGTTTTATTTGTTGCACTCATTGAGATGTTTGGTCACTGTCCTTTCATCTCTTTTAAAAATCTACAACTTCTTTCTCACTTTTATCATTGTGTGTTTCATCTGAGGGAGCTGTCTGTATAGAGGGCAGTGGTTGGCTGCAGCCGCCTGCTTGGTGCTGATCTCTGGGTCCTGGGAGAGATGGAGGTCTCTGCCTCCCCTGGGCCCTAGAGTCGCCCCCCCGGTGGTTGTGGTTGATCCGCTGCCCCGGTGCAGACAGCTCCTTTGGATGTTGTTTCTTCACTAGGTTTGTCTGCACTCAGCCTTTTTATTAGCTTTTCTCCAGTCTGTTGGCCTGTATGTGTGCTTGGTTGTATGGCTATGGGTATGTGTGTTGTGATTGGTATGTGTTTAATTATGTATATTCTTTGTTGAACTTCTGCTGGAGGTTTCCTCCTGTTAAAAGGGATTTTTCCTCTCCACTGTCGCTACAAGCATGCTTAGTGTGAGGGATTTACTTCGAGTCAATGAGTCGATGCAATCAACTGGTTTTTGTTATATTGAAAACTTTGAATCAATTTAACTGTATGTTCTGGTGAATTGTAAAGTGCCTTGAGATGACATGTGTTGTGAATTGGCGCTATATAAATAAACTGAATTGAACTGAAAAAAAAAAAAACAACCCCTTAAGCAATACTCCGGTATTACAGGAGAAATGTTACTCTTTTTGCAGGCTCAACACATTTTGTTCTGTAAACATAGTCATATATTGTAGGCACAGGAATGTCAGGATCTTGCCTAAAATCTCATATAAACTTTATATTACTTTCTACAAACACCAAACACAGTTAAAAAAAAATGTATAAACGGAATTAGAAAGTAGACAAACTCCAAATAATGCCATATGGACAAGACTCACAGTCAGCTGGTTTTTACCCAAACAAAAACCTTGTCTGCTGAAAGCGGTGCTCTAATCTCTATTCACAATCTATCAAGCAAGAGAAGAAGTCCAGGACATTCCCTCGAGTTTATTTATATAGTGCAAATTCACAACATGTAATCTAGACGCACTTTACAGAGACAATTCAACCAGATCATACAGTCAGATTGGTTTAAAGTTTTCAAAATGATGTTAAACACTTTCCTACATTTCTTTTAATCCATATCCTAAAAATGCACTTTCTCTATGATCCCAGATGGATCATGGCCGCAGTGGCGGGGGAACAAAATAACCCGGAATGGTCCGGTACTGCATGCTGAACTCTGCTCAACCACCCAAGCTTGTGCAGAAATCCGTCTTTAAGCGCAGTTAGCAAGGGTCTGCGCTTTATGCTCAACACTGATGGTTCACCCTCAGCAGTTTGGTTCTTCCTGCCTAAACTATATCGGGCTGATCATCCTCTGTCAAGCATAAAAAATTCCTTTTGTCTAACTATCACAATTTTATTTTATCCATTTCACAATAGGTGATTCCTTTTTACCAAAAGGAATTCGTCCATCCATTTTCTGTCACGCTTTACCCCTGCTGGGGTCGCGAGGGGTGCTGGTGCTCCAGCTGTCTACGGGCGAGAGGTGGGGTACACCCTGGACAGGTCGCCAGTCCATGGCAGGTCAGCCAGTCCATGGCAGGGCACCAAAAGGAGTCCATAAATTATATCCTAAGCAAATATTTCATTGCATACTGTTACAATGCATAAATGTACTTAGATCTTTGAATATTTCTCTCTCATAGTTTTTTTTATATATTTGAGTTTTTTTTCAGTCTGGTAAAGAATCTGGTTGTTATTCAAAATTATAGA